CTGTTCCCCATTATAATCATTAAGTAACTGGGGACAACTGGCATCTGGGTGATTTGGGATGGGATTAAAGCTGAGCGGTGGAGCAGAGAGAACTTGAGAGTGCTTTGGGGCTCAGGAAGCTCGTGACTGGGTTATCAGCACAGACAAGGAACAGTCAGAGCCCAGAGGCATCGCCCCGCCCTAACACAGGCCCATCCCCCCTGCCTAGCCAGACACGAGCAGCCCTGGCCCTTCCGTGGGTCTGGTCCATTCCCTGCCCTTCAGTGTCTCAAGTATAGATTCATGAGAACAGACTCGTTCATGAGGAGCCAGCAAAGCAGGGATGACAGGGGATCACGGACTTGCTGGAGTCTGCAGACCATGCAAATGAGCATATCCTGTGCTAGCCAGGGCTGGTCAGTAAAGGTATCCGCATGTCCTCAAAATGCCACTCACTGCCTTAGTTTGTGTGTTTTAAAGCACTGGCATCAAACAAATTCTTCGTTTGATTTTAGAACATTTTCCAGAAATAGTTATTTTGATTAAAAGCTTTAAGCCTTGGTCTTATATTGATTCAGTAAATAGGACGATTTTCTTGTAGTGGATAAAAATGCATACCATTCTGTGGACACAGGCTCTCAGCCTCGAATTGTCCAAAGATGCCCTCAACAAGTGCTGTCCTGTGGCTGTACCACCCTACAAAGTTTCCATCAGACAAACTCAAAATGTTCTCCCTCGAGCCTCCTGAAATCAAGGACCTGGGACCTGATCAAAAAAAAAGGGCATCCGAGGAAAACTTCATAAAGCTTCCAACCCGCAACGCACCAACACATTGTTCTTAGCTTAGCAACAGGTGTGTGTGTGCTTTCCAAACACTGAGTTCCACCCTTCCTGGATTTCCTACGCAGAGCAAAGTGAGCTTGGGGGTCAGAGATCCTTCAAGAAGTGCTTCATGGGACACATATCCCAGCCCGGTGTGGGACAGAGTTCCTGACCCTCCACACTGCTTCCCCTACACATCTAGCAAGGATCTACCTACCCTCAGCTCCGCCGCTGGTGGCCAGCCATGCTGTCCCAGCACCAGTCTGGACCCTTCTCCTGCTTCATCCTGGCAGCATCCTAAATAACAAGAGTTCAGACTCCTCTCAGGCTCAGGGAACTCCCCAGCCCTTTTCCTCCTGGTAGCATCATTGGCATTTGGCTAAGAAACCAAGTGACACCCATGAAAAACAAGCATCAAAGGAGGAGAAACAGCCTCAGCCTGGGCTGGGAGATGCATGGCATCAGTGTGCAGCAGCCTCTGGATTTGGTCCTGATGTGTGTTGATATTGCTGTACATCCCCTGACACTGAGCAGCCTCTGAGAAAGTATAATAGCAAATATATATATCAAAGATTCCTTGATGAATCTCATTACTTCATTAGGCTAACCTCAAAAATTAATAATTAAAATTAATTTTAAAAAAAGAATTCGAACTGTGAGGATGGCAAAGAGGTGGCTTTTCCTTTGGCTTTTCCTTCCCGCTCAGGAGTTAAGTACCCAGAGACTTTGATTTCTACTCCAGGAGGTGGGGGGAGGGAGAGAGAGCCCTCAGCTGAGGGTCACGCTGCTCATTGGCTCCAAGAATAGAACTTGAGTGATCACTGCCCCATAAGACACTGGCTTTAAGATGATGAGAATGCAGAATGAATGAGCCTCAGTCACCCATCTAATAAGAACTTCTTGTTCTGCTCTGTAGAAGCCAGACACCACGTGTTCTGTGGGGGGGGGGTGCCTAAAGAATGCATTGATTGGCTCCTTGTGGAACTGTCTTGCCCCCACCAACCAAGGCCCCCTCTAAACACATTCCTCATACTCACCTCTGTGCTGGGGATTGGGAATATTGAGGGCAGACTGAAAAAAATGTTGAGAAATGATCTTTCACCAATTTGAAGACGCAGAATGTTTGGGGTCAGGGACTATTCTAATTGACAGCGGTGGGCTCTGGAAATTCACTTTAGTAACATTTGCCTGGGCAGGGTCACTTCTTCTTCTTAACCTGCTTTTACTCGCTTTTCTCCTTGCTGTGGAAAAAAAAACCAACAAAAGCCACTCCAAAGATGGTTTAGATTCGTTTTCAGTTTGAGGATGCAGTCCATGGTGGTGGGGGAAGGCAAGGCAGCCATGGCTATGGCAGCAGGAGTGTGAGGCAGCTGGTCACATTGCACCCACAGTCAGGAAGCAGAGATGAACGCTGACATGGAGCTCACTTCCTCCTTTTGACTCAGGACTCCACCACATGGGATGGTGCTCCCCACATTCAGAGTGGGTCTTCCTTCCCGCATTAAATCTATCTAGAAAAGCACTCATCGACATGCCCAGAGGTGTGTGCCCTCAGATCCCATATCCAGACAATATGATTAATCATCACAGCCTTTTTTGTTTCTGGTTTTGAATTTTTTGTGAGATATACATATTTCATTATGTAGCCCAGGCTAACCTCCAACAAGAGATTCTCCTGCCTCAGCAACTGAGTACTGAGGCTGTGGGCCATAATTAACCTCTGTGTGGCCAAATTAAAGTACTTCTGTGGCACAGAGACTGTTGTTCTCAAATATTCATGCTGATTGCTTCTGACTGTTTGGTAGCTCTGAAAGGGGATGTATTTCAGAATTGGAAAGCAAAATGAAGACTTCCAGGTTGGGAGGTCCCCTGTGAGAGCACCTGAATTGTCCCCTACTCTATTATTTTCAAGAAAATAGAACAAATCCTCAAGGAAGATTTTTCCAGGGTCTCCAGTGCTAGTCAAGTCTCTGTCACCTAAAACAGGTCTCTCAAGAACCATTTCTGGAGCCAGCTGGACTAGGGGTCACCCATGGGCTTCCCTGTGTGACCTGCTGCAAACAGTGAGGAGTATAGAAAGAACTTATATACCAGGAACAAATAGAGTTACTGTCCCCATGGAGATTAACAGTAACATGACCACACTGACCATTAGGAAGTATGGAGAAACTTCAGAAGGGTGGAAGTAGGGAGTGACCAGCAAAGGAGTGGAGCCCACTGCGTGGTCAGAGAAGCCCTCTGTTGATCACAGGTGGAGTTGTGCCATGTACTCAGTGAAGATGCATGAGGGAGCGTCCTCTGTTGTCAGTGATGCCCCAAGTTTTATACCCAGATGTAGTGTCACATTGATATGACCTGTGAGAACCATGTGACTCCTCTACAAAAAGCCAGTATGAGAGCCTGTCTTTCTCTGTTCAGCTACACTATCATGTGGTTGGCTTGCCTCACACCCATTGCCTACCCAACAGAACATGCAGACTGAATCTGTTAGTAAGCACTAAATGAATGACTCTCCCCCACAGTACTGCCACCCACAGGAATCTGCAGACTAGCATAGTCTCACATGGACACAAACTGCCTGAGGAGCTTGCTAAAATGAAGCTTTTTAGTCTGCAGGACTGGGCAGAGCTTGGAAATCTTCATCTTAATCAACTTCTAAGACAGGCTGCCAGCCAGCATGGACCACACTTAGAGTAATGTCACCAGGTTCTGCCATCTTTCTTTCTGACGCCTGAATTTTTCTGTCTGTGTCCATTGGCACTGGCATTAACAAGGATATCCGGTTTGGAGAACTTCAAAATCTGAAGTCTGAATCCAAGTGAAGGTTCAAATACATAATATCAAATCTCAGGAGGCTGGGACAGAAGGATTGAGAGTTTCATTCTAGTCTGGGTTACACAGCAAGACTGAGTCTTAAGTAAAATTATTTTTTTATTTTATTTTGATTAACTAATTAATTTTAATTAATTAATCAATCAATCGAAAATCTGGTTTGACTTCCACTCCCTTGGATCATCAAGAAACACAGCACACCAGGACACTTAGGGGCTTGCAGCTCTGACCGCAACTGAACCATCCAGAATCTCTGAAAGTTCTGGCTATTGTCATTGTCAGGTGACCCTAACATGCAGTGGGCACAAGAATTCCCACTGGACAGTCCCTCTGCTGACCTCTCCCAGTGAGCCAAGTTTGAGGGCCCTAACCATCCTGCCCATTCGGGTGTGTATTCCTTTAGTCTCCCTGTGGGCCATGCATGAATGTTCCTGGAGCAAACACATTTGGCATCATGCTAGTATGACAAAAGGGGTGCTTTTGATGCCAGGGGACACCCTAAGCAAGCAGGCCCCACCCCAGAAGGCCATAAATGTTTCAGATGGTGAGGAATCATCTCACCTTTCCTACGGTGTTTAATACTTTCCTCGTTGTTATGACAAAAGCAACTTAAGGAAGGAAAAACTGATTTTTGGCTCACAGAGGACACAGTCCATCATGTGTCGAGTCTAGTGTCAGAAGCATAAGGCAGGTGGTCACACTCGGTCCGCAGTCATGATGTGGAGAGAGGCGAACGCTGGCTCTCAGCTCTCTTTCTCATTTCTACTTTTTTCTTTCAGTGAGGGACCCCACCCCATGGGGTGATGCTGCCCATATGCAGGGTGGATATTTATTTCCTGCTCACCTAAACCTCTTGTAGATATGCCCAGAGGTGTGTCTCCTAGATGACTTTAAATCCAGTCACACCAACAGTGGAGATTAGACATCAGGCCTACATGGGGACAGTCTCCAAAGCTCCCCTGCCTTCTGAGACCAGCATTGTCAGCTCTGAATGTCACAGGCAGTGGCCCCAGGGACTCAGAGCTGGGCTAGAAATAAGTATGCTCCCCTCTGCTCTGAGAAAACGTAATGCGGAACCACTGGCACCCATCTCACAGTAGGAACAGTGGGGGCAACTATCTATGTCCCAGGGGCAAGAACTAATTCCCTTACACATCTACTTACTTTCATTCATTTAACTGTGCAAAATTTAATAAATAGCCCTAGTTTCTAGACAGGTATTCATCCGTTTAAAAAACCATTTGGCCCAGTGCACAGACATCCTGAGGGATCCATGGATGTTTTGATGATCTGCCTTATACTCTGTGATTTAGTCAGTGTCCCTGGGCCTTCTGGAGTTGATTGATTGTGATCCTATGACTTTCCAGGTGTGGCCTGGATGAGGCACAGAGATGGGGAAAAAGCTGGACCTTTCCAAGCTCACAGATGAGGAAGCCAAGCATGTATGGGCAGTGGTTCAGCGGGACTTCGACCTAAGGAGGAGAGAAGAAGAAAGACTGGAGTAAGTGTCTGCCTGAGCCACAGAGATCAGGTCCTCTTTGTCCCATCCAGCTGTCATGTCAGGTGCCCTGGGTGGGGACGTGGCCAGAGCTACAGGGTGAGCAGAATGAATGGGAAGCCATGATCTGGGAACTGGTTCCCCTTTCGAGCTTGGAGGTCCCCATCATGAATTTGAACTTGACTCCCAGTCTGGGTGCTGTCTCATGAGCCACACAGTCCCAAGGCCACACCTTGAAGGGAGAAAAGGAACTAATGGTGCTATGTGGGGAGTGTGGAATGGCTCTGAATCTCCTGGACACTGGGATTTGGGCAGAGACTGACTTCCATCCTGTTCAGTGATGTGAAGGGCACCCCTCTTCCTGGGTGACCCCAGCTTGTGTACCTCATTCTCCCTACCACCTAATCCAAAATTTACCTCATTGCCTACACCTCCTTCTGCCTCACTTCTGCCTCTGCCCACAAAGAAAGGTTCTTAGTCTGCCTGAACTATTCCCTTCCCTGTCTTTTGTGGTCAGCTTATTGAGGAGTTGGGAGGAGACCCTGAGCAAAGACAGAGCAGAAGCCAAGGAAGGCAACCCTGAAAAACGCAGAGGGTATAAGCAGACCACACAGGCTCTAGGGGTTGGCATGTAGAAGTCTTGAGACTGGGGACATGGCTCATCTGAACCCAATATTTAAAGCAGGGAGGAAAGACTGTTGTAGGAGGTTCCTGGGGCGGGGTCTCAGATAAAGCCCAGAAAAGAGGATGTCAGGCAAGGAGGAGCCTCTGGGTCCCAAAACACAGCAGAGTCCAGGACAAATCACCAAAGACAAGCCCAGTTCGAGGCTAGCACACACAGTAAGAGGTTCTAGTATTATGAGAAGGGGCAGTCAGCACCATCTCTCCAAGTCACCTCCTCTCTCCTTCCTGCCTTGCTCTGCCTGTCACCCATGGTCTTCATGAATCAGCTCCATCTTGAACCAATTCCTTCCCCACCACCCCTGCTTGGCTTGGAGCAAAGCCCATCTCTAGCACAGACCTGATGGGCATGGCAGCCTGGATCCACTTTCCAAGCAACTGACGTCCCAAGTTACCACTAGAGCAGAACTGGTACTGCACCCCTGTCTCTAGAGCAGACCTGGCTAAGGCCAGGTGTCTTGGTTTTAAATAAATGTCTACTTACACCTTCATGCATGTTGACATGCAAGAGGAGAATTCATTTTGCAGGGAACAAAGTACAGGGGTGCAGGCAGGCATCATCTTCCCAGGGACTTGGAAGAGGTCAGGTCCGACCTCCACCCCAAGTTTAGTGAAATTCCAGGTGTTTTTGTATGCCACTTGATCACTCTGGCCTTCCATATTCCATGACCCCCGGGTTACTTCTAAGTTCTCTTTGGATAGGAAGCATCTTTAGAGGACTTCCCCAGCTGGTGGGCTAGCCACAGTCAGGGTCCCTGCCATTTGCACAGGATGAGCCAGCGGAGATAGATGCAGTTGACCAAGGATGTTATGCCCCACAGCAGCCTTGGGACTACGGATTGGGTATTTTTAAAATCCCAAATGCCTATCAGATGGGGAGAGGTTGTTTACAATGCTCACATCACAGATGACCAGAGTGACTGATATCTCCAAAGGGGGAGTGATGGTAAGTCAGCTGCAAAATCCCTGAGACCTGAGAGGCACACTGGCTTTCACTGTATCAACAGCTAATGTAATAGCTGGCGACAGACCTGGGGGACAGTCACGTGGCAGAGGGTTGACAAAAGGACTTCTCGTGGTTCTTCTTGAGGTTGTTGTTCAGTCCTGTGCTCACTGTCCTGGGAAGTCTATGGCTAAAGGGTAGCCCTGCTTTGCCCTGTGACTAACTTCTTTGTAAGTCCAGCCTGACCGCAGGAAGTTGCAGAGGACAGGGCATAGGTCCTGAGGCAGGTTGGGAGGAGCACAGTGAGGTCACAATAGGACAATTAGGCTCTGCTCAAACTGGGCCGGGCTGACTCTGAAAGGGGAATATTGAAACAGGCACAAAATCAAAACCAGGTTCTTGGTGGCAAAATTGGTTCAGGAAAGTGAGTTGACTTAAATAAGAGTCCCGTTCCTTTTGTCCCAGTGCCCTCTCCAGTAGTGTCTGCCATGTGGCTGTTGTGGCCTGGAATCCTTTCTTGCAATTCACAGGCACAGCACACCTGCAATGTCTACTGTGCTAACCCATGTTACTCGCTACTGGTCAGTACTTGGGTGTGAGCATAGGTCACCCTTCAGGGTAGAGAGTCCCATGAGCAGTGTTCTTCCCTGCTTGATCATGGGACAGCATACCCACCGCGTCTCCCTCACTGGCTGGCGTCAGGTGCTTTTGTGAACAATCTGTCAGCCGCTCAAAGAACAAAATCATCCTGCACTACTCAAACGGCTACATACCAGAGTGTGTTTGCAAACCTCACCCCGGTGCTGTCCACTGATGAAGAAGAAAGAAAAGGACAGGCCTGATGAAGTCACCATAGTGACCTCCCAGAGGCAGGCGACAGAAGCCACCACCCACATGTGGCTATTTGAATTCACTGAAGTTAAGTGAAAGACTTTTAAGTCCTCGGTCTCGCTAGCCACTCTTCAAGTGTCCCCAAGCCGTGAGAGCATGTTGTGGTTGCCATTGTTCCAGCCCCCAAAATGGCAAATTTAACAATGAGTTTCATGACAGATTTCTTGGCATCCTTAAAAATACATGTAAAAATAAACTGATACGGTTGAGCAGAAAAAGCAAGTGATGAAAAGACAGTTTTTTCTTGGAATATATTATATATAACAATAGCAGGCTTAGCACTCACAGAGCCTTCCAAGACAGGGTGTGGGTTGATATCTAGTCTCTCCCTTTTCTGACTCCTTTGCTGGTGCTGTCTAGACTTGTTACATATTAACTTTGGGGGGGGAGGGTCCAGGGCCCCATCTTTCTTCTGGTGCATTCACTCCCCTGTGGCCTTGTCCAGCATTAAGGGGTTTGGATTATTTTTGTTTGGGGGAGGGACGGAAGGGAGTGTTGGGTTTTTTTGTTTGTTTTGCAGTGCTGAGGACTGGCCCCAGGACCTTACTCAGGCTACTCTACCACTGAAACACATACCTAGCCATGCCCAAGGTCAAATGCCCAACCTACAGTGGAAGGAATATTGTACAGACCATTTCCCAGTATGGCAGCCATTCACCCACTTCCATGGCTAAGAGCGTTTGATGGGATTAACTTTTTTGTTTGATTTTCTTCTATAGTTCTTAAATCTGTATGTATATGGGTGTTTCATATGCATATGTGTATGTGCACCACCTGTGTGCAGTACCCATAGAGGCCAGAAGAGGGCATAAGGTACCCTGGATCTTGAGTTGCAGACAGTTGTGAGCTGCCATGTGGGTGCTGGGAACCAAACCTGGGTCCTCTGCAAGTGCTCTTAATCACTAAGCCATCTCTCCAGCCCCTCTTTTATTTTATTTGGAACTTAAGTAACACTTGTGGCCAGTGGTCAATGGGTGTCACGACAGGCCTGGACAGCAAGCCAAGACCCTTCTAAACTGTTGACTCAGTGAACCCATTCAGCCCTTAGATTGGACATCTGGTCAACAACTTATAATTCACCCCCCCCCACCAAGACCTCATTCCCTCCTCAGTTGCTAAAGTCAAGCTGCCAGAAGTCATGTTTATTCCTCTCCCTTCTCATTCATGTATCCACAAGCCCATTAGAATGTATTCCCAGTGCAGCATAAGTTTACTGCCTTCAATCCCAGCCCCAAGTCAGGCCACACCAGCTGAGGGAAACTCCTGCCCACTCAACCCTCTTTCTACCACCACTGCCCTCTTGTCCACCCTCCTCACAGACCCCAGTGTCATGGCTTAAAACCAGGACTCAAGTCACGTCACACTCATATTCTCTAAAGAACATTCTAAGGGCTTAACGATGCAGCTGCCTTCTCAGCGGCTCATGGGCCTCACCCCTGCCCAGTGTGAGGTCCCACAGCCTTATCTGACAGAACTGAGTGGCTTGCTTCTTAGCCTCTTGTGTCTTCACTGCACAAGCTTGCTGTATGTCCCAGTGTCTGGCTTGGGCACGAGTGGGCAGGCCCAGCAGAGTTGCACTAGGACACTTGAGCTCCATCTGTGTAACACACTTCATCCCCAGGTGACCCTGTGATGTGGCTGCTGTTGTCCTGATTTACAGAGGGGAAGGCGAAGAAGGAGGCAGGTTCCCCAGGGGTGAAGAATGCCCTGTGAGTGCTTCTTAGGAATGTCAGGAGGGAATGACTAGTTGTAGGGTTTTATATTATTTTATTATCCTCAGTGATTTGCCCATGTGATCTTTACTCCAGCTAGAATAATTCACAGCAATGTCATTTAAAGTGGATCACAGTATCAGTGTCCAACCTGCTCAGGCTTTCCATCTACCTTCAAATAAGGTCCAGACTTTGCATTTAGTGGCTAGTTTTCTCCTTCCTCCTCTTCTATTTCCTTTTCTGTCCCTCCTTCTCTCTCCCTCTCCCCCCCCTCTTCCTCTCCAGACCCTCCTCCCTCTTCTCTTATTTCTGAGGGGGTCTCACTATGTAGCTCAGGATCTTCTTGCCTCAGCCTCCTCAGTGTTGGCTTTATATGAAAATGGTGGTGGTGAAAGCTTTGCCCCAGCCCCTGGTGTCCACACACCCAGAGTCTGGAATGTTCTGCTGGAAGCTCCACCAAGTCCTCTCCCCTCTCTCTCTCCAAACCCTGCTGCATCTCAGAAAGCCCACCAAATGATGACCCCTCCCCCAGAGATGCTCAAGGATACTTCCACAGGGGATTTAAACTGTCCCCCAGAGAACAGACTGGTGCTTTTTCCAGTCTCCTTTCCCTTTCCCATCTCCTCTCTGGGGGACTGGAAGGCCATCCAGGAGCATTGTATCCATTAAACGTGGACTTTTTCTAATTCAGTTTGATTTGGTCTGATTTGGATTGCTGCATTGACGGAGAGGCTTATCGGGTTGCAGAAACTTTTCATCTGGTGTCCAGCTCAGTGTCCTCTCTTTCAGTCTTGATTAGCTTAGAAAATACACATATACACACATCTCACACACACACATACAGGCATGCCACACACACACACACACACACACACACCATACAAACACATTGTTTTCTCTCTGTGTGTGTGTGTGTGTCTCTCTCCCCTGCCTTTTGAAACTTGTCATAGAAGGAGCTGGTTGCTTAATTCTGTGGTCTTCCACAATCTGAAGTTTCCTAGCTAACGTCGTCCCTCTGACCTTTGGATCAAGGTTCCTTTGTCCTGTTTTCCCGAGTTGAGAGAGAATTCCAGAAAAGTGTCTCTTAGTCTCTTATCTTCCATGCATCCCATATTCACTCATGTGTCACCTGGGGCTTTAAAAGCTTTAAGTACAGAAAATATAATCACATGTTATTGTTTTTATGCTATACAAACACAGCTTTGCCAAAGCAAACCTTGGAGGGAACACCCAGTTAAGCCTCCACTCATTAGTGCCTCCCTCTTGGGACACTCCCACCCTGGACCTCCGTGGCCTGGGACTATGTACAAAGAAGGCAACCTCAGTGAGGATTGAGAGCCTGCACCCTGGTCTTGCCTCACACCCTGAATATTTAAAGTCGTCAGCATCTCTCCCTCCATGTGTAAGGGTCCAATGCTCAGCTGAGGCTGTCTTGGAAATCACTGGATTGTCCTAAAACCCAGGAAGAGCAACCAGCTGATGCATTGCCAGCCTCAGTGACTCATGTCCTTGGAAAGGGAGGAACTGAAGTATGCTTAAATGGCACATCCTGTCCAATGGACACAGCCCAGTAATCAAATATTAGACCTGTTAACCTTCCCAAAGGCAAATAGGTGGTAGTGTGGAGTTTTAATCTCTGCAAACACACAGGAATTCCTAAAATAATCCATGAAAGACCTGTCAGTGTGAAACACAGGCACACATATCAGCTCATTTGAAAGTCAGCAAAAGGGGCTACAGAGACCTAGAATGGTCTCCAGCCACAGAGAGCTGGGATTACTGGTGTGTGACTTTTTGTTGTTGTTGTTTTGTTGTTGGTTGTTTACTTGTTTGATTTTGTTTTGTATAATTCTGGACATTAATTTTGGTCACTCCGTATAGTTTCTTGTGAGTTGGTTCTGATGTGGGCTTTGGAACCTTATTGATGAAATTTTCATACTGATGTCCAGTCTGTCTTTCCCTTGGAGAGAATCTTCTGCCTGTGTGTAATTTTTGAAACTGAACTTTGGAAAAGCATGGCTTCTCTGAGTTGTTCTGACCTTCAAATGGTACCACGTCCATTCAACAAAAGGAAACTGAGTTACAGTTTCTTCCTTTCGAATAACTCTAGCTTATGTTAATTTGACACAAAATTAGCCAGCACAATTAACTCTTTGTCAACTTGATAAACACAACACTGTTAAGCCATAACCTTTCCTTTCTTGTTTTTCCCCAAGATCACACACTAATATCAATATTACAATATAAACATTCCAAATTTTAAAGGTATTTAAAAATTCAGACACTTTAAAAAAATCAGTCTCTTTGAAACAGCCAATCTCTTTCAAGATCTGGTCTTTTAGAAGTCTCTCAACCATGGGCTCCTGTAAAATAAAAAATACTTCCTTACTTCCAGAAGGAAGAACCAGGACACAGTCACAATCTGAACAAAGTAAAACCAACTCCAAATAGTTGTTTGAGATTCATTCACGATCTCCTGGGCTCCTGGGCTTGGGTCATTTCTCCAGCTCTGCCCTCTGCAGCACACACAGCTTGTCTTCCAGGCTCTGGCTGTCTCCACAGCTGCTGCTGTTCTTGGTGTTGGTCCCATGGTAGTGGCATTTCCAAAACTCTGGAGACTTTGCTACAACTGGGCTGCACTTTCACCAGTAGCCTCCCCTGGGCTCTCTTCATGGTTCTAAGCCTCAGTTTCCCTGCATGACCCCTTCAGTCCAGGGCCTTCAACTGCTACTGAGGCTGCACCTTCGCCAATGGCTTCCCCTGGCCTCTCATAGTGCCAAGCCTCAGCTGCTCTCCATGATGCCTTCAAAACCAGTACCACCTGGGTGATGCCTACACCACCAAGTTCAGCTGCCAATACAAGGTACAACCTTGGCTGTGTTTGAAAACAGCTTCTGTGTGTTGAGCCTCAGGAACTACTTCCAGCTTTCACCTCAACCAGACTGGCCTCTTCTTAAATCACTGCTAATTTATCAGTTCTAGCTGACCAGCATCAAGTATCCCAGTAACGCAAAGGTTTCACTTTAGTAGTTCTGGAATCTTGTTAATCACAGCTGATTCTTGAGCCCCAGCTAACCAGAACTACATAGTCTTAATTCAAAATAACTAATGGCCCCCAATAGCCTTTAAACTTCCCTCTGAAACTTCATAAACCAGGCCTCCATCTTTCGAATTTCCCTCAATATTCTTACCTCCCAAGCTCCCACAGAGCATCCCACTGAGCTCTCAAGATGCAATGGCTTTCCTAGCGCCAAGTCTCAACACCCTCCCACAGTCCTCCCCGAACATGTTCAGGTCTGTCCCAGCAACTTGTACTAGTTAGGGTCACTATTGATGTGATGAAACCATGACCAAAGAAACTTGGGGAAGCAGAACCCAGGAGCACCAGCCCAGGGTGGCCCCACTATTAATTGCCTGGCCCTCCCTTATCAATCACTAATGAAGAAAATGCCTTATAGCTGAATCTTACAGAGGCATTTTCTCAGTTAAGGTTCCCTGCTTTCATATAACTCAAGCATGTGTCAAGTTGACATCAAACTAGCCAGCACAAGTAGCTAGTCACTCTTGATCAGAAATGATGTATTATTCCAATGTCTGAAATGGTGGATGGAGCCAAGCCTGTAGACACTGTGACACTTCCCAGATGTCCATACCCAAGATACAGTTGAACTTATAGACTAGGTAGGTGGTACAGGAAGGGAGTGACAGCTTAGCTAAAAATTGAATAGAATGGTTATAAAAATACATCACAAGAACTATAAAAATTAAATATGAAAAAATCAGGAATCAGTAAGTGAGCCAATGACCTCAATGGAGAGCTCTCAGAAGAACTACAAATACTGTGGATACTTGAAAAGGGTGATCAGCATCCGTGGGCATCAGGGAAATGCAAATGAAAAACTCGCCCCAGTCAGAATGGCTACCATTGAGAAGAAAACAACTGACAACAAGCACTGGCAAGGATGTGGAAAAGAGAAATGCTTATTCACTGCTGTCATAAATATAGACTAGTTCCAGCCACAATGGATGTCAATATGGGGGTTCTTGAAAATAGAGCTCAGCTATGCCAGGCCTGGGCACACACCCAAAGTGTTCTAAGTCAACACGCCACAGAAATGCTCGCACAGCCGTGCTTATTGCTGCAGATTTTGAAACATTCAGAAAGTGGAACCCGTCTAGATGTCCATCAACAGATGAACCAATACAGAAAATGTCGTATATGTATACAGTGGGATTTTACATGGCCATGCAGAAAATTGTAATCATGCCTTTTGTAGGAATAGGGATGCAACCATAAATTTCTAAGCTAAAGGCTTAGAAAGACAAGTGTTTCTATTTGTATGCATCTTTTCGTGTTTACACCTGTGTGTTTATAGGTCACAAAACTAGAAAGAGGATCATGAAAGGGGAGGAAGAAATAAATCTTACTTTTTGTGGGTTTTTTTTTTTTTCTTGGTTTGGTTTGGGGCTTTATTTCGGGTAGAGGACAGGGTCTCTGTATGTAGCCCTGGCTGTCCTGGAACTCTATGTAGACCAGGCTGGCCTCCAACTCACAAAGATCTGCCTGCCTCTGTCACCCAAGTGGAATTAAAGATGTGCACCACTATACCCACCCTGTGGTAGGAAGGGGGGGGGAAACAGAGAGGGTAATGGATCCCATGTAAAAGAAAAGCCCAAGCAGGCACTAAGAAAAGAAAAGGAAACAGTTTGTGGGAGTGGCAGGGAGGGAGACAGGTGAGAACAAAATACAATCAAAGTATATGTGTGAAAATGCCATGATGAAGCCAAATGCTTTGTAGTCTAATTTTTAAATGTATAAAAACAATATAATATTTAAAATTATATGATTTTTCTCTCTGACTCTCTGTCTGTACACCCCAGCCCACTTCAGGCCAGATGTAACCTCCCAGCACCCCTCACACCTCTGCACACTGGGGTGTCCCCACAGAAATTGAAAGGAGACAGTCGACCCAGTGTCTTGCTAATTTTTCTCACTCAGGACAGATTACCGTTACCCCACCTAAAACTAAAAACATTATGCTTGGCAGGTATTCCATGAAACTCAGGACAAAGGGGCCCATTTTCCAGTCAAAGCTGGTTCCCCTTGGCAAGCTTGCCAGGAAGCTGTGTTACTTTAAACTGGATGGACTCGAAGAGCAGGTTTCTCCTGGGACTTCCGGGTGCAGGGTGATTCCTGTCTGGAGACACTCCAAGCCAAGCACCTAGGCCAGGCTCTGCAGGAACAACCCTGGGCCTCAGCTTGGTGCGTGCTGGAAGACATCCAAAACCACTTGCTGAGGAAACGTCACCTGGCCTTCCTCAGGATTCTCTGACCCGCAAGAGAGGGCACAGAGTACAACAGTAAATGCCACAGCAATGGTTAAGGGCAGTGCCATTTCTGTGAAAATCATAGCTTTCTACTCTAGCCTACCAAAATTGTCTGTGATTAAGCCTGACCTATTTGTCCCCTCCAGGAAGAGGGCTGGCACTCTTTGGATGATCAGGATACCGGAGAGTGCCTTCATTCAGTTTGGGCCACTGTCTTCTGCATATGGAAGTGGTGTGTGTGTGTGTGTGTGTGTGTGTTTGTGTGTGTCTGTCTGTCTGTCTGTCTGTCTGTCTGTCTGTCTGTCTGTCTGTGCATCGTCACACTGCGTGCACTCACACACCTCATATAGAAACAAAACGTTTTCCCCAGGGGACTGAAGGGAAAGATACAAAAAGAGAGCTCGAAGAGGGAGCTGCTGTCTGACACAGCCCATCTGAATGAGACCCACTGCGCCCGATGCCTGCAGCCCTACCGGCTCCTTGTGAACAGCCGAAGGCGGTGTCTAGAGTGTGGTCTCTTTGTCTGCAAAAGCTGCAGCCATGTCCACCCAGAAGAACAGGGCTGGCTCTGCGACCCCTGCCACTTGGCCAGGTAAGCCTGGAGGCAGAGCGTCCCTCATGGTGTCCAAGCCTGGTGTGTCCCTTTGGTGGGGCTGGCTGCGGGCGGGGAAGACACAGCCTCAGGCTTGCACTCATCTCCCCACAGAGTCGTGAAGATTGGCTCGCTGGAATGGTACTACCAGCACGTGAGAGCTCGTTTTAAGCGATTTGGGAGTGCCAAAGTGATCCGGTCTCTCTGTGGGCGGCTGCAGGGTGGAGGTAAGGGGAGGGATGGCCTGGAGATGTTCCGGGCTTGCTTTAATGTTGAAGAACCCTTAAGAGTGTGGTAGGTTGGCACAGACAGACCTCTGGAGCAATTGGGTCGAGCTCCAGCCCCCGGGATTTCCAGCTTGCTATAAACATCCCCAATATTTGAAGTCAATGTTTTTGTGGGTTTTTTTTTCTAAAATTTTACACCATGTTGAGGACTCGTAGCTAGGGAGCTGTCTGTCCCTTAGAAGTTGACAGAGTTTCAGCTTAGCCATCCTGAGAGTTGTGGGAATTAACGCTTCCTGCCTTCGATAACCTGCCATTCTCAAAACTGTCTCTATGAGGGCCAGGAGGTGGCGCTGTGGGACAACAAGAAAACAACAGAGCTACTTCTTGCAAGGAGTGTAACAACCCAGCTAAGACAGATCTCAGCCCCACCCCACCCCACCCCACCCCTACCCTGTAATCCTACATCTTTATTCTCCCCTGCTGGGCTCCTGTAAACAAAGCAAGTCAAGACCCAATGCAAGGAAGCAGCTGGCATTTTCTTAGACTATTTATTTAAAATTAATTGTGTGTGTGTGTGTGTGTGAGAGAGAGAGAGAGAGAGAGAGAGAGAGAGAGAGAGAGAAATGCACACGTAAGTGCAGATCCATGGATCCTGAGATCACTTGAGCACTTGTGTGACAGGAGCTAATGAGACAGGTGACTAGTGTAGATGGGACCTGTGTCCTCAGTGCTCAGTGTAGAGAGAAGACAGATGTCATATCTGAAAGGATTCTGAAGTTTTGGCAGGGGGTGCTTAGCTTTTGATGTCACCCCAGGAAGTCAGCTGATGCATCCACATCCTGCACGCTTGCTTCTGCCACCCTGCAAAGGTGGCTCTGCCCACCATGCTCCCTGCAGGCTCAGGCTCAGACTGAGCAGGCATGGGTAGTAGAGGGATGGAGAGAAAGCAAACTGAGAGCCTCCCAGGCCCTTGACCCAGTCAGGAGCCCAGCAGGACAAGGCAGGGAGCGGGTGCCCTATGTCTCTCCAGCACGTTCCCAGGTGGTTGTTCATAGGCAGCAGAGCCACCCGCAGGATAAAAGATCAAAGTGAGTGTAAACTGACCAAGGCCACTGTGAATTAGGACACACCCTGAGGAACCAGAGCTATCTGAGGCCTGGGCCACCTTAGAACAGTATCCTGCTGTGGAAATGACAAAAGAAACCCATGCAGGCTTTCTGGATGGATGGATGGATGGATGGATGGATGGATGGATGGATGGAAAGAAAGATGGGCAGTATATAGCGATGAACTGGTGCTTGGCTGGGTGTATGGGTAGGTGGATATATAAGAAAGAAAGAAAGAAAGAAAGAAAGAAAGAAAGAAAGAAAGAAAGAGAGAGAAAGAAAGGTGGGAGGGAAGGAGAGACACCAAAGGTGTCTTAGTTACTTTTCTTTTGCTGTGAAGAGACACCATCATATAGAAGAGTTTATTTGGGGCCTATAATTTCAGAGGGTTAGAGTCTACGGCCCTCATGGTGGAAATCATGGCAGTAGGCAGGTAGGCAGGCTTGGAGCTAGAGCAGTAGCTAAGAACACACACAAGGTGGAGAGGGGGGTAACTAAGAATGGCACTAGTCATTTGAAACCTCAAACCCTACCCCCAGTGACACAGCTTCTCCAAGGCCACGCCTCTTAATCCTTCCCAAACAGTTCCAACCACTAGAGACCACATATTCAAATATAAATATATATTCGATAATGTATATAAATTTGATATATGTATATATATACATATATATGTATGTATATGAAGTTGAAATATCTTGTCATAATTTATAGCTATACAGACAAACATATATATATATATATATATATGTCATTCTCATTCAAACCACCACAGATGGGTAGTTGGCAGGTGAGTGGAAGAATGGATGAGACACAGTTAAGTGGTTTCCCAGTCTGGTCATCTGAGGGCGGAGCCATACACCTGTGTATTGCAGGTGGATCTGAGCCAAGCTTGGAAGAAGGGAGTGGAAACAGTGAACAGACAGATGAGGATGAAGACCTGGATGCAGAGGCCCAGGCCCAGCCTCTCAACAGCAAAGTAAGTCCTCCTCAGGCACTGTCTGTGGCCCCAGTTGCCATACCTCTCTGGCCCATCCTCAGGCCTCTCAGCTCCCAGCCGCTCCATACCTCAGGCACCTGCGTTTCTCCCCTAGTCCCACCCCACACCCATCTGGGAACCTCTGTGCCCTCAGTGGCTGCTCATCCCCAGCATGGGCTCCCTCCTTCCTGAACCCCTCCCTTCCTGAGCCCCTCCCTTCCTAAACCCCTCCCTCCTGAGCCCTTCCCTTCATAAGCCCCTCCCTCTTGAGCCCCTCCCTCATGAGGCCCTCCCTTCTAAGCATGGGAGCCCAAGTGTTCACTTCAAACCTCCAAAACTTCAAGATACAGATGACAAATCCCCATTGCCAGGCCTGGCCTGACTGACTGGAGTTCTGGGGACCCAGATGCTGTGACAAAGAGTGTGCAGGACAGACCTGTGTCCACATAGCTCAAGGGCTGCCTGGGAGTCGCTCTTGCACCATTCAGATCACGGAACCTGTCTTTATACTTGGTTGTTTCTCTTCTTGTTTATCTTTTAAGTTATTTAAAGATAGGTAGGCCAGGTGGTGCCTTGGTTTGGGGATAGGATGAAAGTGGTGAGTCAGAGGAGGAAGTGGGCTAGACAGTAGTAGTTTGACCTTGAACCCTTTGAAGGTGACAGGGCTGTAGAATCAGATCTGAGAAATGCTCCAAGGACACTTGGTCATCTTTTGCAAAACATCCGATTCATACCATTTTTTGAACTCACAGCATACAGCCCACCAGGGTCTAGAGCATTCTACAATAAAACATACACATAAAGGATCGGAGTGGGGCTGTAGAGATGGCTCAGCGGTTAAGAGCACTGACTGCTCTTCCAGAGGTCCTGAGTTCAATTCCCGACAACCACATGGTGGCTCACAACCACCTTGAATGAGATCTGGTGCCCTCTGCTGGCATGCAGGCAGAAGACTGTATACTATACATAATAATTAAATAAAAAATCTTAAAAAAAAAAAAAAAAGGATGGGAGTAATTGTACTGAGGGGTGGTGGCAGTGTTCATCTTCCTTCACCCCATATTATAGTCAGTGAGCTGCACATCCTAAAGTCCCAGGATGCATGGTGCCTTCAGGGCTACAGCAACCCTGACCCCAGGAGCACCTGGCAGGCCAAGAACTCACTTTCCTTACAGCATAGCTAGGATCCTGGGTACCATGTCACTTCTGATGGAATAGACACTGTGGGCTCTGGGGCCACCTTTGACCTCAGAGCTCCTTTGAATCAGTTTCTAGCTAGAGGTGGGTACCCTCGGGGGAAGCTGCTGACTGTCTAGAGGGGCTGTCTGCGTGTGGGGCTGCGGTTTGTTTGACCAGTCTTGCTTATCTTACCCCAGAAGAAAAAGCGCCTGCTCTCCTTCAGTGATGTGGACTTTGAGGAAAACTCGGAGCACGCTACAAAACCTTACAGCCATACCCTGGGCCTGTCCTCTGTCCCTGAGTCTACACACAGCCTGCAGGTCAGTGCACTCTGGGATCTGCCCATCCCCCCATTTCTCTTAGGAACTGAAGCTAAGGGGCAGGTGCCTGGGCCTCAGTTGGGGTTGCACTTGGGGACACAGTGTCATATAGCCATGTAGAGACAATTGGAGACAGGATGTGGGATCATAAGATCCAGAAACTTCCCATCCTCACAAGGCAGCATCTCAGGACACTGAGATGACACTTGGAGAGTTGGGGGCCTGGGATGTGATGATTGGTGCTAGGCCTAGAAATAAGGACTTGAGAGAGCCGAGTGGACAATGGCATCTGCTCAGAAGCCAGACAAGACCTAGCTTTGAGCTGCACCTGTGTCTTGCTGAGAGACATCAAGCACCTCATTGTTCAAACAAGGCTGGTCTTGAGAGGGAAAACTCCTGCTGTTACTGCATTCTACTCCTTAGCCATGTGACCTTGGTCCTTGGGAATTCTTTGAAACCTTATCAGCTCATTTTGGAAGAAGGCCAATAACTTCTGCCTTTCAGGGTTGACTCTGAGATGAGAGGCCGTGCCCAGCCTGCATTAGACACACAGATGGGCAGTAAAAAAAACAGTTGTTAGCACAAGGCCAGGAAGGTCCGGTTTCACTGTTAACCCTCCAGCAGCTCTTGGGCTTAGGCAGTGGTGCACTGAGCTAGGTATGGTTGGGCCTTCTGACCCTCACAGAAGGAGAAGACAAAGAGCGAGGGCCACAGAAGCTAGCCCCTAAGGGACATTGGGCCATAGACCCTGCTCCTCTAACTTCCCCTCCCCCAGAAACTATGCCACTCCACCATCCAAGGTCAAACTACACAGGTACTGGGGCAGTGACTTCCGGGATCCCACAACACATAGATCCCTTAGGGATGGTGACACTGTGCAGACCCCTCAGCCCGGGGACAGTCTGCTCAGGAAACCTCACCCCCACCCTTAGACCATCAAGGACTGTTAAAGTAGATACAGTAATCATGTCCTCTCTCCCAAGAAAGAAGTAAAATCTATGCAGGAATGTTTTCATGGCTTCAGCCAGAGTGAGCCTGGGCCCCAACTTCTGTCTCCTGTACGATGCCCAGGCACAGTGTCCCGGGGAACCCTAGTGTCACAGACATGAAGCAGAAGGGCAGTAAACGCTCTTGGCACAGTGTTTGAAAACAGAAACGAATAGCAAGCACTGTGCCAGGACAGATGGCTGTCTAGTGTTCACTCAGCACCATTGGAGCAGCCAAAGCTGACAGCTCATGTGCTCAGTCCCTCTCAGGCAAGCCCTGCTCTGAGGATACCGCCTGCCTGGAGCCCGAGGGCCTGGAGGATACTGATGCAAGGGCTTTGGGGTGTCACTCCAGTCCAGAAGAGCAGCCATATAGCCTCTTGCCCTCCAGAGAGGATGCTCACACTGAGCTGGACCCACCCGGAGCATCCTGCAAGAGGGCCCTAGGGACCATAGCTATGCCTGGTAGGTACTCTAGCCAATCTCTTTTTCAGAAGGGCTCTGGAGGTAGGAGTCCCCAAGAAGCCATGAAGCCAGTCCCTCCCCATAGTTTACATAGACAGACGGGTTAATTCTTTCAGGGTAACTGTCCTTCAGCAAACCTCATAGACCCTTTCTTCCCTGGGCTCCATGCTTCCCTGTGATATCTAGAAATATCAAGAAAGAAGTTAAGCCATCTCCAGTCCATATCCACTGGTATAGAGTAGGGACCAGTCAACGTCCTCAAAATGGCTACAGTCCCACCAAGTCCAAAGTTACACTGCAAGATCACCGAGAGACCTATAGCTGGTCATCGGGAGACAAAGCAAGAGAAGGAAACCGGTTCCATTAGATTTGACCACAGTTTAGCCTTCCAAGTGGAATCCCCAAGGATGCCTCTTCCTGTGCCCAAGGGTGCTGGTGTGCCGGGTTCAGCAGTTCAGACACAGATTTAATTAGAGTAAATGAGGTCACAGCAGCACCTCGCCTTCTAACGTCACATGTGCGTGTGTGCGTGCATGCGTGCGTGCGTGCGTGCGTGCATGCAGCTGCTTCAGGGAGACCTGTCTGCTCCTGCCTCCTCGTTGTTGTTGGTCCTTAGAGACTATAACTGCATGTTCCATGCAGTGATTGGGTTCCTAGGGATATAAGTGGAGTTTCACTTGTTCCCAAAACTATGAGTGAATAAGCCTGCCCAGTGATAAGACTTTATATTCCTTCCCATGATGGCATGACCCTGGAGCATGTGGAAGAGGCAAGCCAGGAGCAAAAGACCTAGCAATGCCAAGCAAAGGCCCTTGTGTTGGGGGGGGGGGGTTCCTAAGAATGGAACCCAGGCAGGCTGTATCAGGGACATGATGACATGGTAGGCCACCGGGTCATATGGCTTCCCTGCCACTAGGAAGAGCAGTGATTTCTAATTCACCCTGAAGTTGTAAGGACTAAATGAGATAGTCACATGTGTTGTTGACAAATAGTCACCAAATTAGCAATGGCAAGTGTGATCTCACAGGGAGTCAGAGTATGGGCTGGGTTTGGGTATCCTTGGCACACATCTCCCAGGCTGTGTTAGAGGGAATGCAGTATCACTCAGGAAGTTTCTGGACAGGATTCCCGGGGCAGGGTGGGACCTGTTGAGCACCAGACACAGGAGAGGGTCAAACACTCCATTCAAACCCCTTCTTTCTCCAAAGGGACAGATGGTGTCAAAAGCAAACAGCTCCCCTCACAGTACCTGGCTGATGTGGACACCTCTGATGAAGACAGTCTCCAGGATCCCAGGGCAGCCTTCCAGCATTCCAAGAGAAGGGCCCGGGCTGTGCCAGACACTCAGGTAATGGGGTTTGAGAGAATTCCACCTCTGTGCTTCTCTGAATGAATTGTTTCCCTCCTCCACACCAAGTCACTTTAGAGAAGTTGACGCTTTCAGGACTTTTTGACATGAAATTGCCTATATCATAGGGCTTTGTCAATATGTATATGCTTTATTGCAGTGGATTTGTATAACATATAGTTGACTAAGTATTTCAGTTCCTCAAAATGTTAAAAGAAAGAAGGAAGGAAGGAAAGAAGGATGGGAAAGAAAAATGTCATGCATGGTAGCTAATCATATGACTTGAGAAACAGGCATAGAAGGATCTAAAGTTCAAAGCCAGCCTAGGCTACATATCCAGAATCCATCTCTAAGAAGAAATTAAAAATATAGTTACCACCTGGTTCTTCTGCGAAAACACAGAATTACAATTAATTTTGATCACATGGTCACCAAGATTGAAAGCAGAGCCCCCAAGAGACAGCCATATAATCTGTGTTGATTTAGCCAGAGATGAACCTGTTTCCCCTGTCTTTAAGACAAGAGATAGATTTCCATGTTCAAGCAAGGTTTAGACTACACTCAACCTGCTGCTTCCTGCAGGAGATGGTGACGCTGGCATTTCAAAAAGGCTGTGCCCAGAGTTCTGAGCCTGAACAGGTCTTATTTAACCTGCTGTGAAGGTTCACACACACACAGGAAATGGATAGAGGAGGGAATTCTGACATAAAGGCTAGGAGAAATCCCCACCCGAGGCTGGAGAGGGAACCCAGGACCCAAGTATGCTCTCTGCCACTGAGTCACAAACAGTCCCAGCCCTTGGGTTTGTGAGACAGGCTCTCTCTTTGTAGCTCAGGCCGGTCTTAAGTTTGCCATGTTCCTGCCTCAGTCTCTCAAGTGCTGGGTTACAGTGTCATGCTGCACACAGGTATTTTATTTTCCACAGGGAAAATGAGGCTCCTCCTCCTCTTCTTCCTCCTCCTCCTCTTCCTCCTCCTCCTCCTCCTCCTCCTCCTCCTCCTCCTCCTCCTCCTCCTCCTCCTGTGTTTGCCTCCATTGTGGAAAATTGGGAGACTCCAGCCCTCCTTGAAACCGTGGTCCCTCATGAGACCCTTTGAGATGTGGGCTTGTCTGCAAAGTACCAGTGGCTCTAGTCACCAGACAGAAGCTGGAGTTGGATGTGTCCTGTGTGTCTCACTGGCCTGGTGGTCCCCACTTCTCCAAGGAACCTAGCTGCAGCCAGCCCCCCCCACACACACACACCTCCAGAAAGCCAAGCTGAGCCCTCTGAGACAACTGCCCAATCTGTTATTTTGCTGTGCCTCCCAGGATCTGCCTTCCTTTTAAACATCAGCTTCCCAGCCTCCTTAGCGGCTTCCTTTCTTATTCACTCCATGTGGCCTTCACAATGACAGTACAGGCCTGAGTGGCTTTTCCTCTTTCCAAGTCCCCACCTGTGCCTCCTGGGCCAGTAGACAAAGGCCATGTGCTGAGCGATCTACCAAGGATATTGATCATTGTTACCACAACAAACACCAAATGGGCCAGGCCATATGAACCCTCAGTCAATGGCTGCCCACAGAGGGCAAGCATGGTCAGAGGGCTCACAGACACTTGTGGTGACATTTCCAGTGAGTGGTCTTCCTCCACTCCAAGTCCTCGGTGCTGTGGTAATTACCCACCAACAATGGCAGCTTCCCACCCCTGTGCGCGTCATTTCCCTCTCATAAGGCCAGGCGAGCAGAAAATGAGATAATGCGGGACAGAGAGGCCGCCTGCAAGGAAGCAAAGCAAAGAGGCATTGATTTTCTGGGCTCTGTCTGGGAGCTAATAGACTAGCTGACTCAAGAGTCTGGTAATTCAAAGAATTAGGAAGCTGTGCTTTGGGTCACAAGTGACCCAGTACTCTTGCTACCTAATGGCTTTGGTCACTGTGTCCAACTTAATGCACATCTTCCTGTGCTGACCAGACAGGACAGGGGCAGGAGCTGCCCAGGGACAGACACAGTCACCTCTTTCAGCTGCCTTGGTGTCTGGTTGGGTTTCTCATCTCTCCTACAGGGTCATCCCACCCCATTCCCCTCCTTTCTGGGTTCCAGTGCCCCTGGTGTCATAAAGGCATGGTTTCACAGTTAACCTCCAGGGCCATGTCACAGCCGGACTTGGGGCTTCAGAAGAGGAAGACACCTGTGCTGGTGGGAGTTGCAGTGAGGTCCTCCGCTATAACCAGACCAATGCTCCTCTCCCTCTGCTGCAGATCTTAGAGTTGAACAAGCGCATGTCAGCTGTGGAGAACCTGCTGGTCCACCTGGAGAACGTGGTACTGCCACCCTCAGCCCAGGTAACACCCTGGGCTATGCCAGATCAGTCCACACAACCCTCCATTAAGGAATGTTAAAGAACCAGCTATAGCCGGGCTTTGGTGGCGCACGCCTTTAATCCCAGCACGCGGGAGGCAGAGGCAGGCGGGTCTCTGTGAATTCGAGGCCAGCCTGGTCTCCAGAGCGAGTGCCAGGATAGGCTCCAAAGCTAAAAAAGAACCAGCTATAACTCAGGGGTAGCATCTCAGAGATCTTGCAGCTAGTTGGTTCACAGTACTCCAAGGATGGATAGATGAGGTTTCCTACATAGCCCACCGACATGAAGCCATCTGTGGCTAATAACAAGGTGATTCAGCACGGGTAGGTATCATGTAAACTGCTGTGAGATGAATCTTCATCCAGATGTAGACACCATGGGTGCCGAAGCTGGACCAGCATCCCCAGCCCACACTACCTCACTGAAGAAACTCGTGACTCTCACACCTCTTCCCATCCCTAAGTCAAGGACAGACCAGGATAATGTGCAGCATCCCGCTGGCAGTGGTTACGTCATTCTTAGTAGTTCCTTGCTAGTCCCTTCATGACCCAACTTCAACTGAAGTCATAATGTCACTTACAGGACCTGTTGCTGAAGCATATCGTGTTGGGGAGTAGCAAAGAAATGGCCGCTGTCTGGTCCAAAGCCAGCCTGAGACATGCACGTGGGCTTTCTTGGACTTTTTTTTTTTTTACCAATTGGAGCAAATAGATATTCTAAGTCCTTAAAATCTTGTCTAAGACAAAGAGACGGGCACCTATGCAGGCTGCCTCCTTTGATCTGAACTCAAGAAGACTCGCCTATGACTTGCCACAGAGTCACCACACATGGCCACCTTCTCTTTCTTCTGTCAGCAACTTGATGTTGGCCTGAGGGGGTTAGTCCCTGTGGCAAAAGTGACATGAAGATATGGAGTGGCACCTCCACCTTGTCCCTGAATTCACAATAACTGGAAAATACGAGGGTCCTTGCTGCTGCGGGAGTACAGGACAGATCCCAGAACCCTGTGGGAACACAGACTATCTAGGTAGTGCTGAGATAACACTGTTGTGGCACACCTCAGTCTCACAAAGGGAGAGTGCGGTGAGCCAGAGAGCCTTGTCCTCAGCCCCGTGAGCCCCAGCCAAATACCCAGGGCTGTAGTTTGGGTACATGGACATAGGACCAGAGCTGGGAACAAATGGAAGGGGCTCGTGGGCTCAAGTGATGGAGGGTGCCCTCCACTTATGAGCACTTCCCCCAAAGAAAGCTCAATGTCCTGTCCAAACCCTGTGGTCTGATGGGTCATCCTTAAAAGATGTTCTGCCTCAACATGGGTCAGCTCGGAGAACTTAGGCTAAGTGAAGTGAGCTGCCCCCAGAAAGCAGACTACGTGGTGCTGTTCAGACGAGGAGCCCAGCAAGGTCAGATTCAGGAAGACAGAAAGGAATGAGGACTGCCTGGGACTGGAGGAAGGATGGGGTGCGAGTGTCCAGAGGGATGGAGTCTCAGTGTAGGTAGAAGGGAAAGTTCTGTGGGGAGAGGGCGGTGCTAGGTGCATGATGAAAATCTGAGCCCTGTGCCTTAAAATGGTAAGACGAGCCAGGCGTTGGTGGCGCACACCTTTAATCCCAGCACTCGGGAGGCAGAGACAGGTGGATCTCTGTGAGTTCGAGGCCAGCCTGGTCTCCAGAGCGAGTGCCAGGATAGGCTCCAAAGCTAAAAAAGAACCAGCTATAACTCAGGGGTAGCATCTCAGAGATCTTGCAGCTAGTTGGTTCACAGTACTCCAAGGATGGATAGATGAGGTTTCCTACATAGCCCACCGACATGAAGCCATCTGTGGCTAATAACAAGGTGATTCAGCACGGGTAGGTATCATGTAAACTGCTGTGAGATGAATCTTCATCCAGATGTAGACACCATGGGTGCCGAAGCTGGACCAGCATCCCCAGCCCACACTACCTCACTGAAGAAACTCGTGACTCTCACACCTCTTCCCATCCCTAAGTCAAGGACAGACCAGGATAATGTGCAGCATCCCGCTGGCAGTGGTTACGTCATTCTTAGTAGTTCCTTGCTAGTCCCTTCATGACCCAACTTCAACTGAAGTCATAATGTCACTTACAGGACCTGTTGCTGAAGCATATCGTGTTGGGGAGTAGCAAAGAAATGGCCGCTGTCTGGTCCAAAGCCAGCCTGAGACATGCACGTGGGCTTTCTTGGACTTTTTTTTTTTTTACCAATTGGAGCAAATAGATATTCTAAGTCCTTAAAATCTCGTCTAAGACAAAGAGACGGCACCTATGCAGGCTGCCTCCTTTGATCTGAACTCAAGAAGACTCACCTATGACTTGCTACAGAGTCACCACACAATTTTTTTTTTACCAATTGGAGCAAATAGATATTCTAAGTCCTTAAAATCTTGTCTAAGACAAAGAGACGGGCACCTATGCAGGCTGCCTCCTTTGATCTGAACTCAAGAAGACTCGCCTATGACTTGCCACAGAGTCACCACACATGGCCACCTTCTCTTTCTTCTGTCAGCAACTTGATGTTGGCCTGAGGGGGTTAGTCCCTGTTGCAAAAGTGACATGAAGATATGGAGTGGCACCTCCACCTTGTCCCTGAATTCACAATAACTGGAAAATACGAGGGTCCTTGCTGCTGCGGGAGTACAGGACAGATCCCAGAACCCTGTGGGAACACAGACTATCTAGGTAGTGCTGAGATAACACTGTTGTGGCACACCTCAGTCTCACAAAGGGAGAGTGCAGTGAGCCAGAGAGCCTTGTCCTCAGCCCCGTGAGCCCCAGCCAAATACCCAGGGCTGTAGTTTGGGTACATGGACATAGGACCAGAGCTGGGAACAAATGGAAGGGGCTCGTGGGCTCAAGTGATGGAGGGTGCCCTCCACTTATGAGCACTTCCTGAAAAGAAAGCTCAATGTCTTGTCCAAACCCTGTGGTCTGATGGGTCATCCTTAAAAGATGTTCTGCCTCAACATGGGTCAGCTCGGAGAACTTAGGCTAAGTGAAGTGAGCTGCCCCCAGAAAGCAGACTACGTGGTGCTGTTCAGACGAGGAGTCCAGCAAGGTCAGATTTAGGAAGACAGAAAGGAATGAGGAATGCCTGGGACTGGAGGAAGGTTGGGGAGCGAGTGTCCAGAGGGATGGAGTCGCAGCAAGGTCAGATTCAGGAAGACAGAAAGGAATGAGGACTGCCTGGGACTGGAGGAAGGATGGGGTGCGAGTGTCCAGAGGGATGGAGTCTCAGTGTAGGTAGAAGGGAAAGTTCTGTGGGGAGAGGGCGGTGCTAGGTGCATGATGAAAATCTGAGCCCTGTGCCTTAAAATGGTAAGACGAGCCAGGCGTTGGTGGCGCACACCTTTAATCCCAGCACTCGGGAGGCAGAGACAGG